GCAAATTTCTGTTCCGCTGGGCATACTAATCTACATGTCTTGGGGATTTATCGTGCCACTTGCCTTTAAGGCTTAGTTGCAGCGTAACTCTTAGGTAGGGAAGTTGAAAAAGGCAGTTTTGCTAATTGGCTCACTTCTGAGGAGAAAAGCAGATGACACCTCAAAACGCCCAAATAAGGCCCTTCTCGCAGTCCATTTTAGCGAGAGGTGAAGACTACCTGAGATTCGTCAGCCTACCATTGTGTCCCTCTGCCCCTCCTTTTTGTTACGGTAAAGGACCCACTGACCAGGACACAGAGGTGGGTCCAGCCTGATCCACACGATCAACGTGAACTTTATCCTCAGTGATACAGTCCAGTATCCGTTTCCGATTCTCTGCGTCAAAGTCGGTAATCTCAGTCGAGATTGATTGAAATCCCGTGACAAGAAGAATTTCTTCTCAGCACACCTCTTCCTTTGCAAGTGAAATGCGATGTTCCTGTATACTGCAGTTGGAGGATCCTTGGCGTGTCCTTATGGACGCGTACAAAACGTACACTCGCTTGCGCATGCAGGGTACAGCATCGTTGTGTGAAAAACAGGTGAGGAGGGGGAGGGGGGGAGGGGGAGGGAAGTGGTCGTACTTAGCGGCCGGGAGGAGGTCGTGTTTCGTCGTCGTTGGAAGAGGGGAGTCGTACCGAGTTTAGCGGATAATCATTGCTAGCGAATTATTACTTCCCTGTTATTAATTGAATGTTTTTATTAAAAAATCCACCTCCTTCCAGATGGTCCCTTTGACAGCCTCTCTCATCTTTTGAGTTTGGAACCGCCCCGACCAAAACGACCACAGCAGCCAAACAGCATCAACGAGTCGTTGTTTTCTAAGAATAATGGCGACATACCGAACGTCGGTGGTTTAGCTGTCACACATAATCGTGGACGTCGAGTTTCGTTCGGTGAGTGATTCACGTTGATTTTTAGTGCACTGTTATGGAACTGTACACTTTTTGTGCCTTGACTGCTCCCGCAAGCGGTTAAGAACGGTAAGGCAGCGTTCAGACTTCGCGATTACGCGCGTCTACGTTTACGACGTGTTACGATTGCAATAGCACTACGGTACTCTAGACTGGAATTCAACCACGCGGGCGGGTATCGAGCGGTGCACGCCGCTGATATTCAGAACAGTATAGGAGAATGACAGCGTAGGCGTTGCTTAGTCACACAGTATCGTATCGATCGCTGACAGTGGCTAATGTTTGGGAGAGTA